TCACAAGGAAAAAAGAAAAAAAAAAAATAGCTTGCAAGGTCAAGCTTAGCCACCGAAGCCGTAGAGGGTGCGGCCCTGGCGTTTGAGAGCGTAGACAACGTCCATGGCCGTGACCGTCTTGCGCTTGGCGTGCTCGGTGTAGGTGACGGCGTCCCGGATCACGTTCTCCAGGAACACCTTCAGCACCCCGCGGGTCTCCTCGTAGATGAGGCCGGAGATGCGCTTCACACCACCTCGCCGAGCCAGACGCCGAATGGCGGGCTTGGTGATACCCTGGATGTTGTCGCGCAGAACTTTGCGGTGGCGCTTAGCACCTCCTTTTCCCAGGCCCTTTCCACCCTTACCTCTGCCAGACATGATTGAAACAAAGTAGCTCTGACGCCTCTAAGTGCCGGCTAGAGCCCCTTATATATCAATTTTGCGGACCTTTAAGGAAACTGAAGCGACGGGGGCGGGAACAAGACCTTGCCCCGCCTTTTCCCTACCTTCCTGGGCGTCTACTAGTTCCTAGCGAGGGAAGGGGGCAGGGAAATGCAGTCAATTCAGTGTCTGGCTCTTTCCCGTTTCCTGGTTGGGGTCCAGAGTCGCTGGTTTTGTGATCTGTCGTCCTGCGTCTGTGGGTTTTCTAAAACAATATTGCACAAGTCTCCTAACCACTTTTATCGTTTCTAAAAACAGGCAGTGACGCCACACTTGTCTACAAAAGGTAGAGAAAGTAGAATAGAATTTTTAAATATGAAGATACTTTTTAAAATGTGAGTATTAATTCTTAAAACTAGCGATATTTATCGTCAAATTTGGCTGATCATGAACATTTCTATTTGTAGAGCATATACATATACGTCGTTATCAGCACTCCTGATACAGAGGAGGTTCTAGGAAGGGGAGCCAACATTAATTGAACTTATATTCTTTCTTCCAAATTTATAAAGCAGCATTTGTGTGATGAAGATGAAGAATCCCAGGCTTGAAGACCTAATCCTGTTCTAATAAGCAGTATTGCTGGGGATCGAACTGAGACCTTCTGATTCTGGGGTCTTGTGTTCTTGCCACCTACCCCTGAGCTATGTCAGTAAAGCATTGAAGATATACCATGATGAATAAGAATTTGCAAATTAACAGAATTAACAAAAATAACACCAATAGACTGCAACGGTGTCCAAGTAAGAAGGGTGCCTGAAGTGAAGTTCAACACACAGATGATAGGTTGATATGTTTAACAGATAAACACCAACATTTACTCACCTTGCACAAATTCACATTGAGTGCCTTCTATGTATTACAGAGGTGATTTTTAAAAAAATCCCTTCTCTGCTTAGGCAGTCAGAAGATTATTAATTTCCCCGAGTCATAGACTATTTGAGATTTAGCTCAGGTGTAGTTACCTGTGGACCAAAACAGTAATCTCCCCTGCTCTCCTTTTTGAGAAGGGCAGCAAACAAGAATCATTGATTGATTCATTCATTCAACAATTTAGGATCAACTACAGGCCAAAAATTGTGTACAAATACCAGGTTTACAAAGATAATCATACATGTTCTTTTAAAGAATTCAAAGTCTAGCAGAAGGAAAAGTAAACTCAGAGTGAGGGGTCATGTGTCAGCCCAGCATCCTAATTTCAGCCTGGTAGTGATGGATGGAGCAGCCGTATCTCAGTAACATTAGCATTACCTGGGAGTGTGATAAACATACAGCATTTTAGGCTCAACTCCAAGTCAACTGATCTGCATTTTTAACAAGATCTCCAATTGGGTGGTATGCTCATTCAAGTCTGAGAAGAGTTGTTTTCGAGCTGCGTTTTCCTACAGTAGCCATTAGCCACATGTGCTAATTAACATTAAAATTAATTAGAATTAAATAAAATTAAAAATCAATTTCTTCAGTCACTCTAACTACCTTTAAGTAAGTGCTCAACAACCGCAGTCAAGGATAGTGGTTGTCTATTTTACAGTACAAATAAATACAGAACATTTCCATCATTGTAATAGGTTATATTGGGCTGTACTGTGATAAAGAATTTCTTCTGAAGAACTACGCAGAGCAGGAAAAGGAGTGAGAGATATCTGAGAATAAGCCTTGCTGCAGGAAATAAAGATTGGGGTATATTTGAAGTTTACTATAAATTAGCCAACTTCTGGGTGAACCAGATATTACTAATAAATAGAGGGACATGTAAAAAGGAAATTGGAAGTTTGAGAATAGTAGTATTTTTTTATGAAATAAAATTAATAGGATATAGTTGTGCTTAGAGGGGAGGTTCAAGTGGGAGAATGTCCTCAAGGGAGACCATCTGACAGGAAACTAAAATAAATGTGATTTCTCATTACCCTTCTGAACACACTAGATTCAAACACAATGCTCTATTTGCAATATAGTCCTTATTTTTAATTTGGCCTTTTTAGCATTTCTTCAACATAGTCACTTTCCCCTTTAGACCTTTGACATTTACAAAATTTTGGAGTGGATTGACTCGGTGAGCACTACTTATATTTTTAACAGACATTTACTATACTATGGTGAGGGAAGGGTTAATACCAAAATTGAAAGTACATGAAATCATGAGACACACATCACTTATCTAACTTTACTTTTACTTAGTTATTTTTTACATCTATAAAATAAAAATGGTTCAAGTCTTAGTCTAGCAGAAAACCCACTGTTTAAGGATATATACAGAGTAAGGACTCAAAAGTAAAAAAAACAACTTTTTTGGTGGGCTACGGAATAATACGTGAAACTTTTCCAGCTTACCGTCCAATGGGGGTGATCCAGGCATCAAGAACCTTGTCCATGTGACAGAGCATATACCTTGGTCTCAAGCAATAAGAATTTCTAAATGTAGCACAGCTCCATCATTTTATAAACATGTGGGGAAGTCAAGTCCGAACTAGTGCCCTCCAGAAACGGCAGAGATTACCTATAAACAATTAAGGAAATGTCTAATTACCTATAAACAATTAAGGAAATATCCTAAAGTCCCAATGTCTTCTCACTTATTTAGAACCTAAATAGCCATGGAAACCAGTAACAGTTGCATAAAAAAGAAACGGGGACACCTGCTGTAGAAAGAACTCTTCACCCACCTTAAACTGAGTGTATGTAACTTAGGGAAAAATTCCAACAATTATTCTACAGCTGATATTATAACTACAATGATGACCCAAATAGTGAACTTTTTAAAATCTGAATTTTAATTGTATTTTTAGGTCTAGATAGTATTAGGCTCTGGGCTGAAAAGGAAAGGGGCCTATATAATGTTTGTGACCAATTGCTATTAATAGCAATGCTATTGAGGATGACAAGTAGCCCATTTTTCTAGACACATAATATGTCTGCCGTGAGAGAATTGGAAAGCTCTAGATCCAACCCTTTAAGCTTACCTCTATATATACAGTATTTGTATGAGGTAATTAACATGGTCTTAAGTCCCAGAGACTTGGTTTCAGACAGTGCCAGCCAATAATGACTATTTAAAAACAAGCCTAGTGATTTTTATGAAATTAGTTATATGCAAAGAGACGACATCTTAAAGTTGATTATTCTGTCTTGGAGTTATAGGACATTCTCAAATCACCGTTGAAGGCCAAAATAACTAGACTTCTGTAAGTAGGGGTATTTATCAGAAGAAATATAATACCAAAATATCTTTCTTGTTTATTTAATAAAAATAAGATTTAATTTCAGTACCTAAATTATTGGGTGGATAATATTAACTTCGTGCTTAATTATCCAATATTTGCTTAATTCCATTAGCTCTGTGTGTTGCAAACTAAAAGAGATAGAGTAGTAAATTCAGTCATGTTTCCTATGAAATGTCTGTTCGACTTCTTAAGTGGACGTGTTTAGCCAGTTAATTTCGGCTGTGACAGCCTAGTTCACGTTTTGTTAGTGAAAAACCCAAGGAGAGTTATGAAGACTCAGAAAGTGATTTGAATGAGAATTTCTTCTTTCTAATTCTGCGTCCCTTCTTGCAATGTTGAAAAGTTCAATCAAATTTGGATTTTAAATATCACTTTGAAATACAGAAAGTATGTACATAATTCTATGCTAAATACTGAAGTAAAAAGTCTTTTGGACAGGTGTCTGTTACTAAGTACTTTAAATTTTAAGGACATGGGATATGAACTTATGATCTTACAATGTTGAGCTCACAGCTGGTAAAATGAGGTAGAGCTGCCATTCTATTGCTTTATGACTCACTTTCCTTGTTTGTAGATGGAGTGATTTATCTCTGATGCCCATTCTAAGTCTGAAAAATTTGCTATAATTGACTTTAAAAGAAGGTTGGTGACTCTGTTCGGAATTGTTTATCTGGAAAACAGAGCCACCGCACACCGCATCCTTCCTCAAACGTTTAAATCATTGAAACACTGGGATCAAACCTAGTTTACACACTGCTCAATTAAATCCTTAAAGAAAAAAAATCTATCTTTTCTAAAATAGTTATCCATCTTATATGTAGAATTTTCTCCCCCAGTGCCAATTCCCAGGGCTGAGTGCAAACAAGTTGCAGGAGAGCTGTGCTATTGCTCCCGCGAAAAACCCGGTTTTCCTTGCAAACTTGAGTAAAAATGAGTTTATTTATGTAAGTTTACAAACAAAACAATGTACATAACAATGCCCTGGAAGAATGATTTACAAAGGAAATAGAGAGAACTAGTAATTTTAAGGAAAATCTGAAAGTTGTCTCAATTTGACTGAAGTTTCAAAGAGAGTTGGGGGAATCAGCAAAGTTTCAGGGGGACAATTTTGAAAGTAGGTATAGCAAACTAGGCAGGAATGAAGCCTGAAGAGTCTCGGGTCAGTTTCCCCCAAATCTTTAATTATTTCGTGCCCAGACTTCTTATATTTTTCTTCTTTTTTAAGGGGCAAAAACACAGCCACTCGGCAGAGCCGAGGAGCCCTTCTTAGCAGCGCGGCTCAGGGAGCAGGCAACCAATCATCACTCAGCGACGCTCTATATAAACCCCCAGCCGGCGGCGCCCGGGACACACCGTTCTGACCGTATAAGCTTACTTTTTTTTGGCTGTTTTGACAAAACAGAAAAATGTCGGAGACTGCTCCAGTTGCTCCAGTCACTCCTGCACCTGCAGAAAAAACACCTGTCAAGAAAAAGGCGAAGAAAGCGGGTGCAGCTGCTGGAAAGCGCAAAGCGTCCGGGCCTCCGGTGTCGGAGCTCATCACCAAGGCTGTCGCCGCTTCCAAGGAGCGCAATGGTGTGTCTTTGGCTGCGCTCAAAAAGGCGCTGGCGGCCGCTGGCTACGACGTGGAGAAGAACAACAGCCGCATCAAGTTGGGTCTTAAGAGCTTAGTAAGTAAGGGCACCCTGGTGCAGACCAAGGGCACCGGTGCCTCGGGCTCTTTTAAGCTTAACAAGAAGGCAGCCACTGGGGAAGCCAAGCCCAAGGCTAAGAAGGCGGGTGCGGCCAAGCCTAAGAAGGCTGCTGGGGCAGCTAAGAAACCCAAAAAGGCGACGGGCGCGGCCACCCCGAAAAAAAGCGCTAAGAAGACCCCCAAGAAAGTGAAGAAGCCAGTGGCGGCTGCTGGAGCCAAGAAAGTGGCCAAGAGCCCCAAAAAGGCAAAGACGGGCAAACCTAAGAAGGCGGCTAAGAGTCCTGCAAAGGCCAAAACCCCTAAGCCCAAGGCAGCCAAGGCTAAAGCTGCCAAACCCAAGGCTACAAAGGCGAAGAAGGCGGTCTCCAAGAAGAAGTAAAGTTGGAGCGGCAATCCTTGTTTTGAAAATCTCAAAAGGCTCTTTTCAGAGCCACCCACTAATTCAGGTAAAAGAGCTTAACCAAGTATGCCTAGCCAAACAAACCAGCACTGTAAGACATAAAAATTTTGAAATTTGGCGCCATCGTGTGATTGGCCGGCTCAGATTTAGAGCGTCAGGATGCGCGCGCACTGCTGGGTATACAGAACAGCTCGGATGGTCACAGTCCCCTAGTGAGCTTAGTGGCTCTTAAAAGCCTTTAGCTTACATGGACAGGGTGACTGATGGTAGTCTTAACCCTCATTTGCCCTTGGCCTTGTGGCTCTCAGTCTTTCTGGGCAGCAGCACCGCCTCGATGTGGGCAGGGCGCCGCCCTGAGCGACGGTGACTGCCCAGCAGCTTGTTGAGCTCCTCGTCATTACGGATGGCCAGCTGCAGGTGACGCGGGTCTTGTTTTCGCAGACGGCATTGCCCGCCGGCTCCAGGATCTCGGCCGTCAGGTACTCCAGCACCGCCGCCAGGTATACCGTCGCGCCGGCCCCAACCGGCTCGGCGCAGTTGTCCTTGCGGAGCAGGCGGTGCACCCGACCCACGGGGAACTGCGGCCCGGCTCGGGAAGAGCGAGTCTTGGCTTTCGTTCGTGCTTTGCGCCCTGTTATCCACGTTCAGACATGTTAGGGGGGGAAAAATGCAGTCTGAAAAAGGGATTATTACGGACTGGGGACTGTTTCTAAAATTAACATTCTCATTGGTTTGCAGAGTCTATTGAGAGTTAGCCAATCAGAATGCACTCCTGGACTCATTTGCATGGACTCCAGAGAAAATACTGCACCGATTAGAGATCGGGATATTAAAACTTGTATATACTATGAAGCAGTTGAAAAGCTTCAATTTTTCTGCTTGATCAAATGCAGTTTTATTGTGGGGGCGTATTCATGCTATTGGTTATACTGCCTAAATCAGCTTAATTGTTGCTACCACCCTGACGCTAAGGGATAAGTAAAAAGTGTCACACCTGGCGGTTTATAATTTACCCCTTTTCCAGATGCTTTTCCCCCATAGGTGTTGACAGGATCAGGGATCCGTGTTTGGCGGTGTACTATCTCTTGGGGAATTGGGAGGTAGAAACAAAAGAAAAGAAACGAAAAAACACTTTGGGAAGGCAAGGAGATTGGTTAGAGTTCCTGAAGCTTGGGGTAACCAGGGCAAAATAAATAGACTCTAGAAAGATGGGTTGACCTGAATTGAATGTTAGTTACACCGTTCCCACTTCATCCCTGGGCCTGAAGGATTTTGTTGTTGTTTTGTTTTCTCCTTTCTTTTTTTGTACTTCAGGGTAGGCCACTGGATTTCTGGCCAATCTTGACCAAATCTGAGCTCTGCAGACCAGTAGGGGGACTGTAAACGTGGATGGGGAAAGATTACACCTTTATTTTCGTAAACTCTAAATGCAGTTTAGCATTTCCTTCAAGTATGCCTGTAGGCAACTACAGGCATCACGATGGATTTTTGCAGTATCCGTGACTTTTTCAATCACAGATGTTTTTCTATCACTTGCATTGATTTGCAGATATCTTGAAATAAAATTTACATTATTCTGCAGGTTTGAAACTGACATTTGTTATTCCTCGTGTTGTTCCTTGTTAGTTGATGTTACTATTGAAACATACATTTTTCAAAAAAATATATTTTGAGAACTGTATTTTAACATTACTAATTTTCTTCCCCTGTATGCTTGAAGTATTTGAAAACATTGTATTGAGAAGGTGTTTATGGATAATCTGGGGACAATCCTTTTAACTGGAGGAGCCAGACTGAGTTCACGTGTGGAGGCCTTGATTACTCCTGTCACTCGGTCACTGAATCAGATAGATGTTTAAAGAAGTCTTGTAACTAACATGTTCTTGTTCTCACCTTCTCTCTTATCCTCTCATATCTGAGATGATTGCATTGTTTCCTAACCAGTTTCCTAACCAGTATCCTAATTCTAGTTTCTCCAGCCTCTAATGGTCATTCTATGTCTTATGAAAGGGTCACTGGCTCCCTATTACCTCAGGTTCAAGTGAGAAATTTATAGCCTTTTTTCATAATCATACTTTCTGTTCACACTGAATAGCATTAATAACTCAAATTTACCTTTTTATCTGGTTTTTGTTTTTGTTTTGGGGATAATTTGGTTCATCTCCAATTCCTTCTTTCTACCTGCGGGAATCTCTATTTCTATCTCAAGTTATATCACCGTGAATAAGTCCCCCTATTTAAAAAAAAAATCTAATTTCTCTGATACTTGCTTTGATGACATTTAATAATTGGATACCATTATTATCAATGGAAAATTTATAATGTACCTATTCTTTTCTTCCACTGAACTAAACCCTAGGGCATTAGTCTTCTTTGCTTTGTTTCCCCACTACTCTGGGTGTGTTTTTAATTAACTGAACTTTTAAATCCTGTCAAGTGGATGGGGTTATCCCCAGATAATCAGATTCAATGATTTCACTTTGTTATTCTGTGTAGATATCCAAGGGTAATGGGTGCTTTGTCCCTTCTATGACATTCCTCCTGATGGCTTGATTTAGGCACTAGCCCCCTTGTTTTCTGAGGTATGCCATTCAAGATGTTGGGTCTACTACAAAAACAAAACAAAACAAAACAAAAAATAACACCTTTGGAGTATAAAAGTCTTCAGATGTAAAATACCAATATTTACCTGTGTGCAGACGGGGTAGGTGGAATGTAGAGAAAGAATGAAGTGGAATTTCTGGATTATCTTGATTTTTAGCTATCATTTCCATAAAATAAAGCAACTGTTCATTTATAGATTATATACTTGTTTGTTTTTAAATTTGTGGACTTAAAGGCAAACACGTAAGTCTGAAATGGATATACAAATTAATGTACCAAGAAGTACATATAAAATGTGACATGATTTAGATTTGTGATCCCTCTCCAATAAAATAACAATTTATTAACTAACATCTACTGTTAAGTACTACTGTACTACTTTCAATGTATGCCTTTAAAATTAAAATATATATATATTTTTTGGGGGTGTGTGTGTGTCTTAACCGTCAAGATCATTGAATGATGGGCAGAAAAGCTGAAAATTGTCCATGTTAATGCTACATTTTAATTGATGTGCACTGGTTGCATTTCTGTGCAATTGGCTATAATTATAGGACAGAATGCAATCATATATGACCTTGTAACATTATCAAAACTCATCCATTTCCTTTCACATATCTGAAAATATGAAGATATACACATCAGTCTTCCAATGTCAGCTCTTCCAAGGAATAAAGCCTGAGGGGCCACTGCTGAGGATCATGCAGACACTGTTTTATATAGTAATGCCTAATGGAAAAAGTGTTGGTTCTACCCCTTACTATCTGAAACTTTCTTACTGTTTCCTTATCTGTAAAGTATTAATAGTACTGATAGAATAATAATGATGTATAATAGATATTAGTACATAACTATTGAACTTACCTTATATTTTGGAGGCTTCGTAGAGTAATGCATGGTTTCTGACCCACTCAATAATGCACTAAATACATGTTGATTATTTCTACTTAATAAAACTACATACTATTAAGATTATGTGAACTCTATCAATCTTTTATTCTGAAATCAGGTGTGCCCTAAATGGTAATTCCTGTTTGATAATTTTTTATTTGAAATTCCAATTTGACTAATTTCCTCAGGGTTTATTTTAGGCCAGGGACTGTTCTAGATGGATTTAATGATATGATAATATGTTTTCTGTGCCCTTTTGGTCCTCATATCTTGACGTTCAATATATGGTGAGACAGAAACAGACATTAAAAAACTTGCTGTGCTGGAATCTCAAAGTACAGGATATGGGAAAGCACGTTTTAGTATGGAATGACTTTATCTAACGTTACAAATATGTAAAACTCCATTATTGGAATTATAAATAACTATTTTTTTCCATATTGACCCAGATGTGCCAGTTTTCAGCACTCAAGTCTCAATATCTGACAGATTTCCAAGAATAAAGATTTCTTCTATAAAACCTCCAGAAGCTCTTACAATGGCTAACTTAGCCTGTGTATCTATTTACAGCTGTGTTTCTGTTAAACTTATCAGACTATCCGCTTAGTGATCTTCAAGGCGAAACAACCCACTAAAAGAGATAAATTAATAGAAGCCTCTCAAATTTGTTAAGCATAGCTCACCCATCTTGAAACTCAAATTTGCTGAAGTGTTTGAATAGACATAAAATCTTTCCAATCAGTATACAGTATCCCAATAGTAAGAACATTTCTACATTTCCAGATAACAGTATGTATTTTTTTCGGAGCAAAATTCGTGATTTATTTTGCCTCCCGCTACCACTTTAGAAGTAGTGAGGAATTTATTTCTTCCACGGGAATGGAATATCTATTTAATACAGAATAGTGTAACACTGCTGTCTTGTATGGATGAGAAGAAAGCGAGGATAGACAATTTTCTGCAAGAGGGAACTCTCAAGCTTCCAATGGATTTTCATGTGTTACTGACAAATATGAGGTACTTTCATGAGATTTCATTTGGATTAAGATAATTTAGGTAAACAGACTCCTTTTAAGGGTGTCAGATTTAACGGCTCATTGATTCCTAGGTTCTTTATGCAGTTCATTCATACCCAGCTACTTTTGTTGGTTGTTTGGCCCTTGTAGATCAGACTTGGGTAAAGACCGCCACCAATAAGAGGTGTCAAGACCAAGAGTCTTTCCTTTTGGTGCT